TGGAGCTGATATTTCCCAGAGGGCTGGGGGACAGGAAGAAACACAGAACTACAATCCTTAGATCCCACTGGATCAGTAGCCACTGGCCACTTAAATTAGAATGTGAACAAAATTGAAGATTTATTTCCTCAGTCACACTGCTCAATAGCCACATGTGGTTAGGAGCTGCCATCCTAGTACAGATGAGGAACACTTCTGTCATTGTAGGAAGATCTACGGGACAGTGATGCTAAAAATACCTTTAGCATCACACCCATGTAATGATAACGGGACAACCCACATTCTCATCTGGCTTCCTTGGCAGACCTCAAGCAATGGTCACCGCCATCCTTTCCCAACAAATTTTGTGGCCATTCTAAGACAGTCAGCCTTAGGACAAAAATGAAACCAAAGATTAGCAGCAAGCTGCTTGCATCCTTCCCAAGAGTTTGACTATCTGTCTGTCTGAACGGTGCTCTTATTTCACTGTTACACAGGAGTGGCTGCACATCAGAGGATAATTTCTTTGAGCACAACAGACATGGCACAGTCCCTGCTGCGGTGGCACAGCATGGGCTCCAGGAAATACCAACTTGGTTAATGATGGAATGTGGTTTTGGAGAGAACCTTGACAGTCAAAGAGTTTAACCGGGTTGGAGTTGGCAGCTCCTGGTTGGCCCACCGAGGGCGAATTCCCTATAGAGGGAGTCTGTTTCTTCCAGCTGAGCCACCCGCACACACTGGAAAATCTTAAATCAATTTCACAACTAATTTTCATGCTAAGTGAGAGCAGACTGTTCCTTTTTGTGAAACGCAGTCACACCAGGATGTGCCTCCTAGGCCAGGCTTCATTTAGATTACAAGCTTCCCAGCATACTGTCACTGGTAATTAAACCTCCTTGATTGTTCTATTACACAAAGATTACATGACACTAAAGGAATCAAACAGAACCAATCTTTATCTCATTTCTGAAGGTGCACAGAGATGAGATCTAACGACGGTGTAAAACGTGGAAATGCCACTCACACGTGTATGTCTGCTTTGGCAAGTGTGGCTCGAAGAAACTCACAGATTTAAGGCATCTTAATATGCATACATATGCCTGCTTTGTTGTTATACCAGGAAAGTCAAACATGGATTTAAAACACCATGAATCTCACCTGCAGCACCTGGAAATAAACTTCCAACATGTACATTTTGTAACCCATGGCAGTTCTTGAAGCATTTTCCTTATAATCCCTATGAAACTTTTGATTACAAGTCCACATTGTCACCAAAAAGCAAGGACTGAGTCTCAGGGAACTGGCTTTTGGTCATGGATTCTGGCTCTTTTAATTCATTTATCAGATTCAAGTTCCACGTTCCATTCATCACAGTGTAGACCTGCATCAGAATCACTCCAGGGTCTGTTGCCAGTGTAGCTGCTTGGGCCTCACCCAAGTCAGCATCCCTATGTGGAAGTCCCAGGAGATTCTTGTGTTTACTCTGAAACCAAAGCCCTCATGGTCAATGGCTCTCTGTATCTCCAACATTTAATGAGATACCAAGCCAAGAATCAGCACTCAACAGAGAATGTGCTGAACCAAACTCACCATCTTTCCTTTTTAATGGGTTTCTTTTTGAAAAATCAAGGACCCAGCATGGTCGTGTGTGTCTGTAATACCAGCTACGTGGTAGGCTGAGGCAAGAGGATCACAAAAATCACAAGTTTGACACCAATTTGGTGAGATTCTGTCTCAAAATAAAAAACTTTAAAGGCTGGGGGTATAACTCAATGGTAGAGCACTTGCCTAGCGTGCATAGGCCCTGGGTTCAATCCCCAGTACCAAAAAAAAACCACGTTCCTGGGTGAACATCCATGCAGAGATAAAAACTTGCAATGGGATTTTGGGCAGTGAGTTGTCCAGATAACACCACACTCCCAGATGATCTTGACATTAAGAACCCTGACCCACTTACAGAGAAATTCCTATTTAGCCCAGTCCTGGAAGAACTCTTTTTGACTTCCTATCCTTTGGGCCTTGCTCCCTTCCTTAGGAGGAGGTAGAGGAGAGTTGATGGGGCTAAGGGATAGAGGTAAGTGACAGTGACAAGGGAAGTATCTGCTTTGTCAAATGCTCAACCCTGCAGCTATCAGCCATTCACAGTACTCTGACGGATGTGTGAGACTTCGCTCCAAAGGCTTAGTGACCTTACTGCAAATTGAGGAAGGAAAGAGAGAAGCTCACATTGCTTAAGCATTATTTTCCCAGAAACTTAGTTCTTACCCAACCTACCCAGAACTCACTGCCTACACACAGGCAAAATTAATTGCTCTCCTCCTGTGCCTCACTCTCCTCCAAGCTCTTAAGCCCCCTTTCCTTAATTGAGCCCCTACCTGCCTGGTCTTACAGCTAATTACTTATTGTAGCTCTCTGCCCAGACAGCTTTGCTCCTGAGGTCTGGTGGGTGTTTTCTTTATCTCTGCATCAGGAGGCCTGGCCCTCAGGTGCTGCTCAAATTAAGGTTCCAGGTGGGTGGGTCTGTAGGTCAGGTTCACCCTCTCCCCTGGGATGGGCTTCTTTGAGAAATTTGCACAGCAGGTGTTGGCTTTGCCTCCTGACCTTTTTAGAGCTTTGCCCCTCTGCAATAGATTTTCCAGAATTATGTCATTACCCACAGATCTGTGTGCAGCGCTACAGGGAGAAGTCAATTCTCCTAAAAGATACTGCTAGTTACCTTGATGTGCTGTTGTCTTGCAGATGCACACACCCACACACATATGCACAATCCTATCAAGATGCATTTCACACTGTGATGCTCCCTGTCCTACAGCTCCCAGCCTTACCGAAGCCATAAAATCTGAGTATTACAGCAGCATGTCTGAACTTGAAAAAAGCTGTGCCTAGAGAATCTGCAAGGGATGCTGCCTTTTGCATTAAGGCCATCCAAACCCCTCTACACTCTGATTTGCTGGGAATATTGTTGTTGGGTTTTTTTAGGTTTTTTTTTTTTCTTCCAGAAAGCTTAAAAGCATCTTTTTCTGGTTCCTAGAACCCAGATTTTTGGAGGAGTGGGTCCTCACTGCTAATCTATCCTCCAAAAATCCTAGACTTCTTATTCTTCCTAGGAAGACAGTCAGCCCCATCCTGCTGTGGGTTCAAGGCCTTTTCATCTATTCCAGGGCTCCTCTCTACAAAGTGCCTTTTCGTGTTCCAGCCATGCCCCTTCAAACCTGTCGCCTCACCCAAGTTTGGCTTCCTTCCATTGTTCCCTCTGCCCAGCATGCTATCTTCCCTACTTGCATGTGATTATGGGTAAAGCATGCAACCACTGTGAGCCCTAGTTCAGTCATCTTCAAAACTGAGGATTCAATCAAACAAAATCCCCAGGCAATATTTTCACCCTCCAACTCAATCTTCTGAACCACTCTCCCTTTCCTTCTTACCCAGAGCCAAGAACACACTGTGGCTTATTAGAATTGAGAGTTGTGTTTCTTATCCCTCCACTAGGCTTGGAGGTAAGAGAGGTCTTGTCTTAGTCATCGCCTAGCACAAGTAGCTACAAGATGCATATTGGATGAGGGATTAGTTTAGTCCTTCTCTTTTACAGTCAGACGCACAAAATTCACAGGCCAGTTGCTTCTCTGTGTTGAAATAAATGGGCTCAGAGGTCAGGATGATTTGGACTTGAACCCAAGCTGTGTGGCCATAAGTATGTTCTTATTTCATAATCTGGCAAGAAAGAATGGCAATACTTATAGAGAAATAACCCTGTGCATGGGTTGCTCAGAGGATTAAGCATGCTAAGTGGGTAGAGGATTGTTAGGTTGTCATAGCCTCCCCTGAGACTGCTCAGACAAAAACCCTGAGTGCTCCTTTAGTGGCTTTTAAAAGTCTTAGAACTGTGGCCACAAGGCAACTTTCAGGATCCTTAAACACTTTTGGTTTTGTGGACCCCTTCTTTCATAAAATAATAATAAAAGATGAATTATATTGGCATTGGTATAAAGATGAATATAATCCAGACTGGAGTTTTTTGGTTTTGGCAGTACTGAGGGTTGAACTCAGGGCCTCCACTTGTGCTCTGCCACTTGATCCCCAGTTCCTCAGTCCCTGGATTTGTTCCTATATATTGCTTAGTACTAGGTTCACCTTCTTCTTCTGATTTTAAAAGAATTATAGTGGCGTCGGGTGCTGTGCCTCCTGTGGCCAATAGAGACCTCTGCCCTGTACAGACCTGAGTCTCAGATCCAAGCAGGCTCCCTTGCACTCTCTTCTCAATCCCTTGTGGGGTCTGTGCACAAACTTTTCTCTCCCTGACGCTCGCTCCCCTGCCCCTTTCCATATTTACCCACCACTCATCCCTTAAGAGATGGCGCAATAACGACACCGGCACCTCGTTCCTGCCCCAGCCTCTGACTGAGTAGGTCTACGTTTTAACAGGATCGGGGTTCACATCATGAGAACCTAGTCTGGCGCGGAGCTCAGCTACCATCCTCTCTTTTAAGCCTTCTTTCTCCTACTTCAGTCACATTTCTCCTTCACATCCTCTCCCAGGACTGTGTGCCTATTAGATTCTTGACTACTGCCATTTGATTGCAAGCTCCACGAGTTTTTTCATTGGTCGTAGGGTTTGCACCCAGCGATGCAGGGCGCAGTAGACACGAACTGACAGCCATTCGGAAGAGCTGAACCACCTTGACCTCCCAGCAGCAGCTGATGCGCGTGCTGCAAACACACGGTCATCACAGGCAAAGCATTTTCACTTAAAAAATATGTTTACCACGGTCGATTTCAGAATTTTTCATGCTGATTTGAGGAAGCAAGAAGCTAGGCAAAAATTGCTTTGCTCATAAGGAAGGTCCCGCCTTAAATCCTGCCAGTCCCGCCTTCATCTATAGCCCCGCCCACGACCACGCCCCGCCACAGGCCCCGCCCCCTAGTCCTGGCCCGGGCCTTACGCCTAGCACCGCCCATCCCGTCTTCCACCCTAGGCCCGCCCCGCCCCTTCCATAAGCCTCGCCCCCAAGCCCGCCTCCTCCCGCGCAGGACCAGGGCTGCTGTGCGCGTGCCTGCTCGGCGGATCGCGTCCCCGGAATCTCCTAGGAGAAATAAACATTCTCCATGGCGATGCCGCGACCTTGTGGACTGCAAGAGTCAGTCAGGTAAAGCCTTCCCAGCCCCCGGCACCCAGCTCGGCCCGGCCTCGTCCGACCTTGAACGCAGCAGGGGTCGCCGAGGCCTGGGAGCGGGGACTGAGTTTGCGGCTCCTGGCCTGTCCACCTGCGACCCGGATCGGGCACTCTGCTCTTGGGCAGCTCGCAGAGTCCCCAGGACTTTGCACCTTCTGCTCCCAGGAATGCAGCCGGCTTTAGCCAACATGGTGCACACACTCACGCGCAGTTTGGTTCACCGTCCCCAGGGCCGGTTCCACCCTTCTGCAAACTGCGCCTCCACACCTGGATCTCAGGACCCCTTGATGACCCCACAACCCCGCATTAGGCAGCCTGGGTTCAAGGTGCCAGGTAGCTACTTCCACTTGTGACCGTGGGTTTTACACTTACGTCACCTCTCTGAAGTCAAACTCACGTGATCGTGTTCTTATCTTCCGGGCTGTTAACCGAGAAAGCTTGGGAAGAGTGTAGACCAGCCCTGTTCAGGACTATTGTTTTGAAGGTGATTGCCCCAAGGGCCAACCCGACAGTGGACAAGCACGGTTTTGCAGACTGATTTCTGCTGGTTCCTCTGGTCAGTTCTGGAGGCTCCTCCTTAAAAGCCATCCTTGGTAGGATCCATTCCCACACGGGGGCCGGCCAGTTTCCTTTTGTGTTCAGGTGCCTGTGGATAGCTGGCACAACGCAGTCTCCTGCCAGTATTTGGTGATTCTTTTCAGGACATTTGGTCGTTTTTGAAATCCACTAGTGTTGCCAAACCACAGTTAGTACCTGCCACAAAGAAAGGCAAAAACTAGCAAACACCTACAAACATCTGCTTATCTAGCAGTGGGGACATTAATGACAGTGGTAACCACTCAGAGCTGCAGCCTGAGTGCCTGCCTCCCTGGGTGTGTAAACTGATCACTTAATCTTCATCAGTACCCTCAATGGGTCGCAGATAAGGGCATTAAGGCTCAGGTCATTCTCATAGACCTTTGAGACCTGTTCTGGCTGAATTAAACATCTGATTTTGCTTATAACCTTTCTACAGAATAATGAATGCCAAGATGCTCATTTTTCTGGGGCTGCTATAACAAAGTATCATAAAGCAGGTGGCTTAAAACAACAAAAATCTATCCTCTCATAGCTCTGAAGGCTAGAAGTCCAAAATCAAGGAGTTCACAGAGCCGCACTCCTTCTGAAATCTCTAGAGAGCCCTTCCTTGCCTCTTGAGCTTTTGGTGGCCTCCAGTAGTCCTTAGCTTGTGGCTACATCACTCCAGTTTCTGCCTTCAGCTTCATGGGTCTTCTTCCCTGAGTGTTCCTCTCTGTGTTCCCCACTCTTCCTGTAAGGACACCAGACACTGAATTTGAGACTCACCAAATCCTGGGTGACCTTCTGGGTTCTAGGTGACTTGAACCAGGGGACACTATTTAGCCCAATACACAAACTAGCATCAGCAGCCCTGCCACTTGGGAGTTGAAAATGCTGATTCCCAGTGTCGCCCCCCAAGTTAACCGAGGCAGGCTACTGTCAGCAATCTTACAGGTGATTCTGTTGCCACTTGAGTTTGGAAATCACTGTTGCAGAACATAAGGTTTGCTCATGTAAGAGGCAGAGTAAGAGAAAGCAGACTAGCCTTACAAGGACCTTTTCAGCAAACTTGTCTGCATATAATTACAGATTTCAAGGTTCAAATATTGCATTATTGAAAAAACATTTCACCATACTTTAATTTTTTTGTCTTTTTGCAGTACTGGGGATTGAACTCAGGGCCTCATGCTTGGTGAGCCTGGTAAGCCTGGTCTCATGTTCTGCTGCTGAACCATACCTCCAGACCTTTTATTTTTCAGATAGCATATTGTGCTTTTGCCCAGACCTGCCTGGGACCCTGCTCCTCTCCAGTAGCTGGGATTACAGGCATGCCACCTCACCAGGCCTAATTTTAAATTTGTGTTTCAAAATGAACTTGTGCACTAAACTGTGCCCTTAGTATAGTTTTCTTTGTTTTTTTTTAACCTCATTCAATCTTGCCAATTACACAATTTGTTGTTTCTGCCACATTGTTGAAAAAATTACACCGTGACTCAGAAATGGTGAACCCCAAGATACACAAAAAGCACAAACACAGAGAGGACAACAACTCTGTCATAACTCTGTTACTAAAATGTTTGCTTTGTTTCCATTTCAGAATCAACTTGATAGATGATGCTAAGGCCCGCCTAAGAAAATTTGACGTTGGCACTAAATATTCTCACTTGTCTCACAAATACGCTGTCCTTTTACCACTGTTGGTGAAAGAAGGCAAACTCCATCTGCTCTTCACCCTCCGGTCAGAGAAGGTAGGTGGAGAGATGTCTCAGGACACCTGAAGACCACATGAAATCATTCACTTTGCATGCAATTTGAGGACACAATTCTCAAATGGACTTTCAAAGTCATGATATTGGAGGAGTACAGGAAATCACAGGATGACATGGCATTTTTTTTTTTTTTTTACAGATGTCTCAGAAAGAAAAGAAATTTAACTTACACATAACCTAAAATATTTTATATCTCAGTACTGGGGTTTGAACTCAGGGCCTTCCACTTGCTAGGCAGGTGCTCTACCACTTGAGCCGCCCCACCAACCCTTTTGCTTTTGTTTATTTTTCAGGTAGGGTCTTAAGCTTTTTACTGGAGCCAGTCTCAGACTGAGATCCTCCTACCTCTGCCTCCCACGAAGCTGGGATTACAGGCATGTACCACCCAATTAAAACACTTAAGCCAGGGTTTCTTAACTCTGGATCTTAGGCTAATAAATGTAGACGCTCTTGGAATTTTGGGCTGTATGACTCTATTGTGGGGCTGCCCTGTGCATTGTGGGATGTTTAGCAATGGTGTCTAGAATGATCTTGGCTTCTAGACGCCAGCAGTACACACACACCTGTGTGACAACCATAGATGTCTGCCCCCTAACAGGGATGGGGCAGGAAGGGGTAAAATTACACCACACCACCAAGAACCACTGTTTTATACTAATCAAGTCCAGCATGCAAGTCGACAGTTAGCTAGTGCTTTGAATCTGGGTTTGCTACTTACCAGCGGTGTGACCTGTCCTATTTACTTGCCCTCTCTGTGTTTTAGTCTCTTCATTTGTAAGTTGAGGATAGAATGTTAGTCAGAGCTTCATGGGGCTGCTGTGAGGATTTCTCAGGCTTACAGATGTCTTAAAGTGGCATACATGGCCCTGGCACTTGGCAAGGATTCTATTGCATAAGCTGCCAGACCAGTGGCAGATGCGGCCTGAAGTTGGGCTGGACTGGACGTTTCCACTTTCCCTGCCACTTTGGGAGCAGCCATCTCCCTTGCTGCTGGGGGGACTTCCTAGGGATAGTTGAGGAAGTAGTCATTTTAAGATTATCCAAGTACAAAAAGAAACAGGCCATAGTAACATCACCTTTTTAAAAGAATAAGGACAGGATCTTGTTAGTAAAACAAACAAAGATGCTTAGAAACTGGTTGGAGTTCTGTGGACTTGGGAATAGAGTTGTGTAGATTCTTTTTGGTCCAGGCCAGGCAACAATGACACAAACCCATGCAACAATGAAAATCCAGGTTCCCAAGGGAGACATGGAACTGGGAGCCAGGACCTGGGGTCTGCTCCCAGCTCTGACAAGAAGCACAGACAAAACACTTGAATATTATTTTGTTTTGTTTTGTTTGTTTTTAAAATTATTTTTATTAGCATATATTAATTGTATAAAGTAAGGGATTTCATTGTGATATTTCCACACATGCATATAATGTACTTTGGTCATATTTACCCCCTCTTATTACTCTTCCTTAAATTATCAAAGAAACAGTAAAGTCTAGATAAGACCAAAGCCGCAAGCAAATAGGGCTCTGGCTCTTGCTTCATCCAGAGCAGCTTTGCCTGTTGATTATTTAGGTGACTTTTAGAAAAAAGAGAATTTGAATCTCCTTCAATCTGACTACCCGCCCATAGCTGTGGGGTCAGGAAATTCCTTCTGGAGCATTGCTGTCCCCCTCCCCACTCCTGGAGCCACCCACTGGGGGCTTACAGGAGTCTCCCCTCAGAGGACAGGAAAGGAAATGGTAGTCATCAATCCATCCACTTGGATATGTGCTCTCCACCATCCCTATAGCCTACAGCACCGTTCTCAGTGTGCCCTATCTTAAACCTGGCCGAACACTGCCAGTGTGGTAGAGTAAAGGAGAGCTGATGTGATAGGCACAGTCCCTGTGTGACATAAGTGCTCCATGTGTTGGCTTGTTACCTGGGGTTTCCTTTCTTCCTTATACAATCCACCTTGGTTAAGAGGCTCCTCTCTGAGACCTAGAACCTGGTGCCCAGCAAAGAGCTGGCAAACCCTTCCCCCATTGCTTGGCCCAGACCTTCAAACCTTCAAAGCCACCTGTTCTCTGGCTCTCAAGAGTCAGGTGCTCTACACTGCCTTTGTCTCCTTCTCCCCCACCTTCTCTCTTTCTCCTCTTTTCTCTCCCCTCTGGGACTTGAAATAGAAAAGAGAAAATTCAAGAGCAAAACATAGATTGAAGTCTCAGGAAATTAGGCTACAACTTTAATTGGCTTCTGAATAGAGTTTCATAAGGTTTTGTACTATTCACAGAAGAAAAAACAGAGTGACTGTGAGCTTCTGTACCTAGATAGAATCCTTTTCATTACTAACAGTTTGTAAAGAGTCAATAACATTTTCTAAGAGTAGAGTTCTCACAAATCTAAAAGGTCCTTATTCTTTATTAATTGGAGTAGATACACAAGGCCACTTGAATTGAATCTGTATACTCTGAGGTCTTTTTGAAAAGCTTTCAAAATACACTCAAAAAACATTTTAACTCAGATCCCTTTTTCTGTCAAGCCTGATGGGTCTTTGTGGGAGCCCCTGTCATTGAACTGTTAACAACAAAGCCCTCTTTTAGAGGTGATGCAACATTAGGTTTATTTCTTAGGTGTTTTGTGAGAACATGTGTGGTGAATAGAGAGTGGTCAAGACAGTAGACATGTCTGCCAGTCTTCCTTTCCCCACTCTCATCATTGTCACTGACACAAGGATGTGAGAGGATGCATCTATTAAAGCAATTCTGGCAGTCCTCCCGATTCATCAGCAAAAGAGGAACTTTTTTCTTTTTGGTGGTACTGTGGTTTGAACTCAAGGCCTCATGCTTGGCTAAGCAGGCACTCTACCACTTGAGCCACTCCGTCAGCCTTTGTGTGTGTGTGTGTGTGTGTGTGTGTGTGTGTTGGATATTTTTGATATAGGGTCTTGTTTTTTGTCTGGGCTGACCTTAACCCATGATCCTCCTGATCTCTTCCTCCTGAGTAGCTAGGATTATAGGTATTTGCCACTAGCACTGCCAAAGAGGAATATTGAAGTGTTTTGTGTTTTTAAAAGGCTTGCCTAGTGCTGGGGGTATAGCTTAGTGGTAGAGCACTTGCCTAGGACATGCCAGGACCTGGATTTGATCCACAGAACTGCCAAAGGAAAAGAAACAAGAAAACAAGGCCTAAAGGGAGCTTTAAACTATAGAATGCTAAAAAAAAATTGTACTAGCATTATCCTTACCTTTATAAGTTACTGTAATAAAATATCTTAGGATAAGTGACAACAGACTTTTATTTCTCACAGTTCTGGAGGCTGGAAATCCAAAATCAAGTCCCCAGCAGATTCTGTGTTTAGTGAACACCTCCTTCCTAATCCATAGATGGCCATTTTTCACTGTGTCTCATAGGGTGGAAGTGACAAGTGGGTTTCCCTCAAGCCTCCTTTATAGGAGACACTAATCTCATTGGTAAGGGCTCTGCCCCATGACCTAATTACTTCCCAAGAACCATACCTCTGAATACCATCACCTTGAAGGTGAGGATTTCAATTTTTGAACTTGTCAGAGGGACACAGACATTCAGTCCATAGCAGGCATCCAGTTTGTTCTCACACAGATATTTCAGCCCAGGTACTACAAATACCAGCACTACGTCTTGATTTAGCTCCGAAACATCAAGAAATGTCTTAAGGCATTCTTATTATGAAATACTATACATGGGCCAGGGACCATTCCACATCCCTCAAACACAGCTCATGTAACTGTCCGTGCAGTTCTGGGAAGTGCACAGTGCTGTGACCCCACAATACACAGTTGGGAAGAGGAAGATCCAGGGGTCTTGCTGAGCCAAGGGTCCTTGATAGATCAGTGGAAAGGATGGTGGCACTGCCCACGTGTGGGGATAAAAGAAACCAAGGTCAGTTTGGTTAATGTTTGGTTCTGTAGAAGGTTCAGGGAGTATACTGCTCAGGACAGGAGGGAAATCATTGGAGATGAGAAAGGGAGAGGTATTTTGGGTACTACAAATCGAGATGTTTCTCCTAAAGGCAGGAAGGAATGGAGTCAGGGATGTAGGTGGAAGGGGGCTACACAGGGAGAGGAGAGACCCCAATCCTTCACACAGGTGCAGTGATGCACCAAGGTGCTGACCCAGTGACCATATTTTCTGTGTTTTAGCAAACTCTTAATAAATATGTGATGTACTGATCCTCCAGAATGCAACCCGGACTTATATTCCAGCTCACTGTGTGTAGCTGTCAGCTTATTGAACTTCTTTGGTCTTTAGGTCCCTTATATGAAAATGGAAATAGCAATAAATGATAGTAGTTTGTATGTCCGTCAATGGATGGATGGGTATTCATTGTGATAGGCACAAGTAATGAAGGAGTATTCATCCATAAAAGGAAAGGACATGGAAGAACCTTAAGACCATGCTGAGTAAGAGGCACAAAAGGTCATATATCATATGGTGCCATTTATATGAAATGTCTAAACCATGTAAATTCATAGACAGAAAGTAGGGGTAGGGGGAAGGAAAGGGATGATGTGCTTAAGTGGTATAGGGTTTCCTCTTAGTGTGATCAGAATATTCTGAAACTAGATAACAAGGGTGGTAGTACAAGATTGTGTGTGTACCAAATGTCACTGAAGTGTTTGCTTTAACTTGGTTAATTTTATGTTAGTGTGGATTTTACCTCATTAAAAATAATAATAGAACTGTTCCAAGGACTCAGAGAGAAAAGATCTATGAAACAGCATATCCAGACTGTGGTAAGCACTCAAGAAAGGACTCACCAAAAAGATCTGTTGATAACATTGTCTTTTGTATTACTCTTTCTTTCAGCTACTTCCTGTATCGGGACCAATCTCTGTGTGTATGGTATCTTTGGGGGGCATGTCGAGAAAAATTAGGAATGAGAACAATCCTCAAAGTTTACCTTTTTAAAAGGACTCAAGGAAAAAGTCTTTTTGTCTTGCTTACCACTTAATACCACCAGGATAGGAATAGAAGCTTAGTAGGTATTTGTTGAATGACTAAATGGTTCCCAAACAAGAATCACATGCTGTAGTTCTGTCCTTCCCAATATGCAGCTAAGAAGGTCACCTGGAGAAGTTTGTTTCCCTGGAGGAAAGAGTGAGCCCACGGACACAGATGACATAGCCACTGCTCTGCGGGAAGCCCAGGAGGAAGTGGGGCTGCACCCCCATCAAGTGGAGGTTGTCTGCCGCCTGGTGCCATATTTGCTTGAGGTAAGGATTTTCACGGCTCCTTCTGAGCTTCTGGTGGATCTGCTGTTGTCAGGGAGTCACAGTTGTCCAGAATAACCCCAAATGGCACTGTCCATAAAGCCAAGAGTTCTTGTGTGTACTTTACCCACTGTGTACTGAGTGGCCTTGGACAAGCTCCTTTTTCCCCATCCAGAAGTAAAAGGGTTGAAATCAGTGGCTTTCAAAGTGGGTGCTGTGGAACCCTACAGATGCTTCTGAATTATTTTGTTCACTTTCCATGAGCATTTCCTTTTCTCCCGTATACATTTGAGAATTCAGTTTGAATAAAAACCTCACATACTCTCCAGTGTGCTGTGTACCAAGTAGTATCCACTTGGAGGGAACCAAGTGACTTTCAAACTAATGTGCTCATTTTTGTCCATACCATGTACAAAACAGTAAAAACTGTTACTATTTGTTTTTTATTAGCATATATTAATTGCACAAATGGGTTTCATTATATTTCATACATGTTGTAATATGCTTTGATTAGGTTCACTCCCCCTGTTTCTTAAAACTGCATTTCTGTGTGAATCAGGATATTCTTGATAGTATAAATCAAAGCAACATATGACAAACCAAAATGTGTTCTGGCCCTGATATAGCCAGGTCTTATTTGCTATGATTGCTCCCCATGACTTCACTTGATATTAGTGGACTTCAGAAGAAGTAAATGTTATATATTTTAACTTGGGCCAAAGCATTATTTTATCAGCACCAGTGTTACAATATAAACCTTTCATTTCAGTTTTAGGATATTACAGGTTCACAATTATCTGCTAAGTGTACTTGTTCTTGTGTACTCCATACCCAGGGTCCCCCATGTTTGGCATCTTACATTATTCATAGAAACCAATGTTAGTACATTAATTAACAAAATGTGTGCTTTATTTGACTTTGCTGTTTCTCTACTAATACCTTTCTTTCTGTCCTGGATCTCATCCAAGATACCATATCGTATTAGTTGTCACATCTCTGGTCTGTGCCTCATCTGTGTACTGTGAAGTTTCTCAGGCTTCATTGTCATGATCCTGACTGTTCGAGGTGTATGGGATCAGGAATTTTGGAGAATGTCTCTCAGTTTGGGTTTGTCTGATACTTTTCTCATGGTTAAACTGGGGTCACAGTCTGAGGGAGGAACACCACATAATAGCAGAGGGATGTATAAACTTTTCAATATTTGATACACTGGGCTTTTTATATCAAAATGATAGTCCCATTGTTGCCCAACAATTGTGGATTCTATCATCTTTTCTGTTCCATTTGGCTTAAAGGCCTGGTGGTACAGGGTTGTGAACATCAATGATGCTGACACTTCATCTTAATTGGGTCCATTTTTAACACAGAGAGGTGACCACTCGAGGGAGATGTAGTTTGGGAGAAGCCAGTGGCCACTCAATAAATGTTTGCTGTGTGTGTGTGTGTGTGTGTGTGTGAGAGAGAGAGAGAGAGAGAGAGAGAGAGAGAGACGGAGAGACAGAGAGAGAGAGAAAGGGAGAAAGGGAAAAAATTAAACTAGAAATGTGTCAGATTTTTCCTCTTCTTTTATGTTTTCTAATGAGAATTATTTTCAGTTGATTTCTGCAAATTCCCCAGCACATTTTGGGGGATTTATTTGAGAACACTATCAACACATTGAGCCATAATGATTAGAAATTCCCAAAATGAGAGTAACTCCACTTTCAAGGTCCCTGGGAGCTCCTAAGTTCTGCCTGTGAGTAGAAGGAATGTGGAATATGGTAATATTCACAGGCTGTTAGTCAGCCTTCCATTACTAGAAGAAATACCCGAGATGATCAGCTCATACAGTTTATTTATAAACCTTGTAAGAAAGGTTTATTTAGGCTTCAGTGCACGGTCAGCTGACCCCCTTGTTTTTGGGCCTATGGCAAGGCAGCACATCCTGATGGGGAGTGCATGGTGGAGCAACGCTGCTCAGTTCATGGTTCAGGAAGGCAAAGAGTAGAAGAGACGAAGATTCCACAATCCCCTTCAAGGGAACACCCCCAATGACTTAACTTCCTCCCATCAGGCCCGGCCTCTTAAAGGTTCTACCACCTCCCAATAGTACCACCAGCTGGGAGTCAAGCCCTTAGCACATGGGCCTTCGGGGACATTCCACAGGACTATGTCAAGTCTTCAGGAGATTTCTGTGGGCCAGACACTCCTGATTCAGCAGATCTCTAAAATGCCATTATCAAGAAATTAAAATGAACAAAGTCTCCAAAGAAAGATGAACTATGTTTTCCTCTACTAGGGAGAATCGGATTCTTTTGACTTTTTTTTTGGCAAGCTGACGTTTGAACTCAGGGCCTTATACTAGGCAGGTGTGCTCCCATTTCAGCCATGCTCCCAGCCCTTTTTGCTTTAGTTATTTTCAAATAGGGTCTCACCTTTTTTTGCTTGTGCCAGCATGGACCATATTCCTTCCACATACAGCCTCCCACATAGCTGGAACCACAGGTTCCCACACACTTACTGATTGAGATGGGATCTCACTAGCTTTTTGCCCAGACCAGACTCAAACTGTGATCCTTCCAATCTCTGCCTCCCAAGTAGCTGGGATTACAGGTGTGAGCCCCCTGCACCTGGCCCTGACCCTTGCAAATTTTTAGAATGTATTATAAAAAATACTTGATTTCTTATAAGCACAGTCAAATTCAGTGTTTTTTTTTTAATCTGGGGTGATATTTTGCTCCCCAAGGGACATTTGGTAATGTCTAGAGATGTTTTGGGGTATCACAGCTATTGGCTCTTCTTCCATCTCCTACATGAATCCTCCCAGGAAGGGCCCCACTCTAGCTCCCACTGCAGGAACATTTATCTCTTCGCAAAGGTCTCTGAAATGTGATCAGAGAATTGTTCTTCTCTGTCTTGGTTACATGGTCCATACATTTCCACTCACTCATCCCCACACCGCCACCTCCAAGACTCAGCTGTGTATGTTTCTAACATACCATATATGCAGGCACGTCTCTAACTAACTTCCTGAGAAGGTCACTAATTGCCTGGGAAAGATTCTAACAGCAGGCACCTTCTTTCAGAAGCCTTGAAGCCTACCTTATTCTCTGTCCCACAGAAGCCATTAACTGCAGGATTCCAGCTCAGCCAATGGACAAAATTCAGGCTTTTATTGGTCCTAGAATGGGCTACCTTTTTCCCTTCCAACCTTAGTTTTCTAAGCTTGAACCATGTGAACATGCCTGACTTCCCATATGAAAGAGACGTCCAGTTTTAAACTATTATTTTCCTGACAGTCACTACTACCAGTTTCCCCGGAGTCTGATAAACTAGTTCAAGGGCCAGAACTGGCCACTGTAAGGCAGATGTCTGCATGTTTTCCTTATAGTAAGGTTGAGGATCTGCCCCTAGCCTGGCCCTTAAGAGTTGATTAAATCTGAGCTGAAGCAGCATCCAGCCCATGCAAGGCTGCAGTGCCAGACTCAGAGATACAGTGACATCTGTGTCTTCAGAGAATTTAAGTAGGGGTATAGCCACAAGACTGCCAGTATTAGTTACTTGTGACTTTGGCGAGTTTCTTCATGTCTTTAATTTTGTTGCTAAAGCTTCTTCAAGCTTAGCCTGGTGTGAGAACTCAGAAAGAAGGTGCTGAGTACTGGACTAGGTGCCCGGAGGCTATGCCCACTGGACGGTAATGAAATCATGAATATTTACTGAGTGTGCCCTGTTGGGGACCCTTCATCCATCCTTCTTAGCACCTCTGTGTTTCTGAGAGCCCGTACCTGTAGCTCTCCGACCAGGACTTGTGCCCTTGGATGTCTGTGTGTCTGTGCTGCACAGACAGCTGGAAATGCCTGCAAATTTACTTCCGGCTAGGCAATGTTCAATCCTGGCAGGGCCTGCAGAGCCTGGAAGCCGTTATTTGTTTGTAGTCAGGATAAACCCCATAGCACCCTCGCCCCCCCTCCCCATTTCCCTAATCCATCCTGCTTCACCTCCTGCCCTCTTACAGATTTCGCTTGAGGTACTTCATTAAGAAATCACTGGCATCTGAGCCCCCATCTCAGAGTCTGCTTCTGGGAAACCCTGTGACCTCAGAGCCTGAGCCTTTACCCAGTTCCATGCATGGCTGAGGTGACCTATGACCTCAGATTTCCTGCTCTAAGGATGTCCAATGTCTATGATCCATTGTCCCCTTCACCCTTAATGCAGTTAATGGTCAACCTATCCCTGTTCTTAAGTCCATTTTAGCTGTCCCTTCTCTGAGCAGTGCCCATAGCCCTGTTTAACCTCCTCTAGGTCCCAGCTTTACCATGCACCTGCCTCTGGCTTTTCCCACCCTCTTTTTGTGGGCACATCCCAGGAAGTCCAAATTCTTCTCAGTTTCTAATTCAAGGTCACAGCTATGCTCAACCCAGGCTTCTCTCTCAAGACTCCTGGTAGAGCAAAAGGGACTTCATCAGCAGAAGGAAGATTCATTGCAAGTACTTGCGGTTATAAACAGAAATCCCCCTTACGTTATAAGCATATGTTATTTTAAAAATAGCTTATATGTAATTATATGTATATAAGGCATATCATTATATTTTTACACATATATATACATAATTTTCTCATAAATGGAAATATGGCAAAACTAGTATTGTGTCACCTTTCTGTTGATAAGATAGTATCCCCTTGTCTTTACCAAGAGAGTCTGTCACATTCTTCTCAAGGGCTGCCTCATATTTCAGTATATGGCTTTAACCATAATTTATCTGACCTAAATGTCCATCAACTAAACAGTATAGCAACTTTAGAGTTTGGGGCTATTCCAAACAATGCTTTCACCTTGTTCATTATATATTCACACAAATGCAATTCCTTGTATTTTTGTAATATTGCTACATGGCCATTGCAAATGATCGTCGTACCATGGTCACAAAAAGATACGATTTCCAGAGTATCATGGATGTGTCATGGATGCTACCTTAGTGACACTGCCCTATTATAAGGAGACAGAACTTTGCTTTTCAAGCAGATTCTGGACCCTCCACCACTCACTTCCTGTCATTGATGCCTTTGGCTTGTCATTTTACCTTACATAGAAGTGGCAAGATTTTCACATTTGAAACCATACCACTGCACTTATTAATTTGTGGATTTTGTTTTCTGCTTCTAGAAAGATACAGGGGTCACCCCGGTGGTAGGTTTTATAGACCACAACTTCCAGGCCCAGCCTAATCCCAGTGAAGTTAAGGATGTGTTTCTAGTGCCTCTGGACTACTTCCTACATCCGCAAGTCTACCACCAGAACGTCTTCACCCGAGCAGGTCTTCGTGTTATTATTCATTGCTTTGAGTACACAGACCCTGAAAGTGGGATGAATTACATAATCAAGGGAATAACAGCAAATTTGGCTGTGCTGGCTGCCTTAATTATTTTGGAAAAAAAACCCACCTTTGAGATTGACTTTAACCTCAGTGATCTAATTTCATCTTGTGAAAAATCCTTTTTTCATAAGCATGCTGCTGGAAGCAAGTTGTAATTTCTGAAACCAGAACCCAAGAAACCATCCAAGAGTTTTGTGCACTTATGCACAGAACAACAGTAAGGCCAACTATTGGAATCTGATGGATGTGAGTGTTTTTCCTGCAGCATGTAGGCAAAAAAACACTTGTTTTCTATGGTTGACTTCTATCATCTGGAAAGGCAAGAGTCTTGCAAAAGTGGAAAATGCATTTAGTGTGGTATAATTTCACTCATGATCTGTTAAAAACAGGTCGAATACCAAGTATCTGCCATATAATAGACTCTTAATAAATATTTGTTGACTGTATGGTCATGTGGCATTTGTCTTATTTGTAAGAGGCAATATCTTTTTTTTAGTCTGGTTGCCATTAAAACCTACCTCCCTTTATTCCATGATAAAGTTTGAGCTGGGTCCATGACTCCCCAGGTAGAAAATGTGGCCCCCGGTATCTTTTGCCATGCAACAAACCTCTGAGTTCAAGCCACTGTGGATATGGGTAAAAGTTGACCTTGCCAGTCATCTCCAATGTAAGAGATAAGCCAGTTTTCCTGGAGCCCAATCTTTCTCCCTTCCAGGGTTTGCAAGGTGGACTAACAAGCCTTCAGGAAAATTCCTGAGGGAATAGCAGAACAGAAAGATAGTCAGAGCTTGGCTCTCTGAATGACCCTGTAGAACAAAGCAACCTTCCAGCCTGGGCTACTCACTGGGTCTGTTACAGGAGAGAAGAAAAAAATTCCGCCATCTCTCTGCCACTATAATTTGAGGTCCCTTTGTCACAATATTTCTGAAACCCTAAATAATGTACTGTAACATTTGCATATGACTAGGTGGATTTTCCCCAAGTTCAAGGCATTGCAAAAAGTTAGAATTTGTCACCCCCAACTCTGCAGAAATCATCACATGTGGGTTCTGCAATATATGCAGGATACCCTGGGGGGGGCAGGGGTTTGGCGGGCATCATTCAAAGCAGCTAATGGGAACATGAGGGGCCTATATGACCATATATAGGAAAAGACAACCAGAAATATCCCAAGGTAAACGGGAGAAAAACTCTGATTTCAAACACATGTCCCAAATGCAAAGTCAAAAGGACATTCTGAATCACATACCTTGCCATTTTCCTCTTCCAATGTGGCCATCTCCATATAGCATGCTTCAGAGTCAGCAGGATTTCTTTGTTTAATTATGATATTAACCACACTGCACCAGGTCAGAGAGGTGAGTGAGTAAAACGACATAACCACAACTCTGCCATGGCAATTTCACGTCTTACTGAGGGCTGTTAATTAGAGTTGTAGACTTTGCTACAGCTGAAAACCTGATGTCCACACTAAACCCTTCAATCGATCTACCATGCAACTGTCCATTGCTGATGAGGTTTTATTTCCTGAAGCTTGGCAGAGGCAAATACCTAGTCTGCTGTTTTATGCCTATAAATGTTTCAATGGCACAAATCTGGCTCTGACCATGAAAGCAGATGTTGGATAAGCCTCCCCATTAACATTCTGTAACTAGCCCTGCATGAACAGGCCTGAACTGTTTCTGAACAATTACAGAGGTATTTGTAAATGTGTATTTATAATCTGTCAGCAGTGTAATTGCTGGGTAGATAGCTGACCTCTCTGGCAGTGCAGAAAGCCGCCCTTTGAACTGTTTGTTTACGTGAACTGCACAGACCTGCCTGGTTTCTCAGAGGAGCGGACCCAGTTGAAATCCACAGCCTGAGGACACCCAATTTAGAGTACCAGATACTTACTGATGGAGATACTACCCTCTTCTCCCTTTCTTTCTGTGGCAGGTTTTATGGCACTCATGTCTTGGGCTCTACTTAAACGTCAGATCTAAATCAAGTAAGAAGAAAAGTTATTGGCAAGGTATTAATCTCACAGAACCTACAAAATGACTGAAATCAGTGAGAAGCCCAGCAGTGGGGGACAACAGAAACTCAGAGCCTTAGTCCCCAGTTCCTTAGTCTCCATTTGGCCTATGGTGGATCTCTTGGCAGGATTGCAGTAACCTGGACTATGTTCAACAGAAGGAAGCAGTGTGGTCAGACATCAAAACATCTGACACCATCCAGACAGCTTAACTCTTGTCTTCCTTGCAGCACTGCAGTGTTGGTAAAGGAGCAGCTAAGAGCCCTGAGTGTGCATCGGGAGGCTCAGATGTGAACAGCAGCTCCAGCATCATGTATTCTGTGCCCTCAGCAGCTCATCTCTTCTCTGTAGGCCTGAGTTTCCTCATCTGTAACAGGGAAGGGTAAATTTTCTCTATTAGGGCTGCTGGAGGATTAAATGAGTGAATGTTCTACTTAAAGCACACTGCTTTCAGAACAGTAGATGGGAATGAGTGCTCAGTTTCCTGTTAGCTCACACAGCTATAAGATAACATTAAGTCATAACATTTCTCTAGTTCAAAGATTTATCATTTTCCTACACTAAGAGTTGCAGAATCTTCTCTGTTAACAAAGCCCTTCACATTAGAGTGATTTTTTTCAAGGTTAAAAGAGACACCTAACGATTTTGTTTATTATGTGATGAAGTCCAAGCAACTTAATAAGTGTTTATGTTCTAACTTGGTAGCCAAGTTAGACTAAAATGTTAATCTATAATACACTGGAAGAAAAATACTATTTTCATTTAACTGGAAGAAAAATACTGTTTTCATTTATCTTAACCACAATTGCCTACTAATGGGACATGTGCCTAGCTGGGCTTACAAGTAATAGAGGACTCAAATAAATCCAGTCATCTGATAGGGATGCGCCCGCAAGGAGGAAAGGGACGCTAACTCAGGGAAAACAGCCAGGGGGTGATGACGGAGCTGAGCCCCAGGGCTCAGGGGATGCCATGCAGGGGAGTCAGATAGTGGTGCTGATGATGGGGACTAACATTTATTAAGCACCTGTTATATGCCTAGAACTTCACCTTGATTATTTCATTTAAGTCTTGCACCAATTCTCTGTAGTGATTACTGTTATTATTCCTATTTTTATACAGGAGAACTAGAAGGCTAGAGAAGGTAAATAGTTGTTCATGGTCACAGTTCATAAATGACAGAGCCTACATCTGAATCCAAATGTATGGGTTTCAAAGCCCAGACTCCCTCTGCTCCACCCATTTACTCCAAGATGAGGCAAGAAGAACGTTAAATCTCCATTTCTCTTGCATCTCCATGTGTGCAAGGGAAGCAGGGAGAAGTTAATGAAGTGGAGGGAAGGCAGAGTTTATTTTTGCCTTAATCATGTCCTCCAGCTTATTCAGCTGGCATCACAAACAGTGAGATGAATAATTAGCTAGGATGACTTTAATTAAAATGGAACATACCAATTAATAAATGACAGTGCTGGCATACTTGCTAATTTAACAACTCACTCATGGTGCCAGATTTCTAGTTAAAGAACTGACATGGGAAAAAATTTCTCCACCCCTTAGACAAGGTGATTAAATTTAACTCAAGTTGGTTTTCCCCTCAATCTCAGTTGGTTTCTTGAGAATTACATAAAGTTTTGAAGAACCCACTGAAGTGATCAGCAGGTGTCTTAATGTAGCATACCTGGGTCCCTAGACTGTGTATGTATCTCTTGTTCAGAATTCCTGATTGCCTTCTCATCTGTATCTACAACATGTGATCATCCCATAGTTGAGTATGGCTCAAATTTTGTGGGTCACTTCTCCAACCAACCCCACTTTATAGTGCAAACACTACTTTATTTGTACTCCATTGAACATCTATATAAAATGTGTACCTTTGCATCCCTGACCCTGGAAGGAACATAGCCACATACCACAAGACCCCTCCATCTAACTTCCTCTGGCCTTAGGTGAGCTGAGCAAGGATCAATGGCTAACCCAAAGGTAGCCTCTCATTTGATGGCCAATAATCTATGACTTGTTTGATCTAACTTAAATAGCTCGCCTAGGTCTACTAGATTTTCCAAAGACTTAGAATTATGCCAAAAGATAATACATGCTTGGGAAATACTTTGGAATATGTTCTGAAAGTCAGAATTTAAAAGTTAGTTGTTCAGTAATTGGTGGAAATACGTCTTTGCTCTAAGTACTGGTTACTATGTCAAGGATTCTACCAGATAAAACTAGAAAAGAAATCCTTGCTGAAGCAACTTAAAAGTCCTGTTTACAAAGTCTTATATTCAAGTCTAAGTTGTTGTTTTATAGATGTGAACTTGGTTTGGTATTCCCTTGACTACTTAAGTTTCCTTCTTATTTCCATTTTACATGTTCAAGTCTTTATTCCCTACTCTAGCATAGTTATCAATGGCATTTCTGTGTCATTTTTCTTTTCATTTTTTATTAATATTAAACTTTAAGTTTTTCTCTGATTATTTTCTTCTACTCACTTAATTTATGTATATTCTGGGCTCATTTCATCTCTTTCCACCAGCCTTAAGTTTCTCTTCTAATTCTGACACATTTCACGGACCCCAAAAGGCAATCTAAGCAGTTGCCTACATTTTTATTCAGACTATAACTCTATATGGCCCAACATCAGATGAAAGAATAAATTGAAAGTAGTAGAAATTTCTTGATAGAACTCCAAATCCTAACCTTAGTACTTATGAATGTGATCCTATTTGAAAACAGTCTTTGAAGATGTAATTAAATTAAGGATCTTGAAAGGAGATCATTCTGGATTTAGGGTAATGACTGGCATCTTTATAAATGAAAGGAGTGAGACATTAGAGACATGAAGATGCAGAGACACAGGGAGGAAGGCTACCTGAAGGCAGAAGCAGAAATCTGAATGACGAGTCACAGGCTGGGGGTCAATAGGAGCAACCAGAACCTGGAAGAGGCATAAAGGAGCCTCTCCTAGGGCATGCGGAAGGGAGTGTGGCCTTGCCAATGCCTTCCTGTCTGATTTCTGCCCACTGGAATAGTGAGATAATACACTTCTGTTGTTTTACACCAGAGTTTGCAGGAATTTGTTGAGACAGTCCTAGGAAACTATTCACCCTGCTCCTGAAACAGTGCCTCATTTTTAGGTATAGCTGTCCCCTCTGTTTCAGGATTAACACGGGAACAACATTGTTGACTGTCCAGGGATTGGAACCCAGCCCAAACTCAATCAGATTTAATCCCTCAGAAATCCCCTTGGATTTAGGACCAAGTGGCACCAGGGTCTGCTGGCCTCTAGGAGGGAGTGCATTCAGGCTTTCACAGGTCACTCTGCCCTGTGAAGCAGAGAAAGCCAGTATGCAATGGGAGAGAACAAAGTCAACATACAGTATGGGACAGTAATGAAAGTCATCCCTGGATTTTTGCTCTTGAGGCTTGGGTGTCACCATGGTTTTCAGCTAATGCTTAGAATAGCACTTCCTCAATTCAAGGTAACATTCTGTAACATTCCTCTGCACATCACAGTATACAACTTTACATTCTTTCACCCTCTCCCCTTCTCTTTCCTCATATCCTTTCATACAATGGGAACCTTTAGTTTCACTCCTTCGGAACTCAGACTAAATCTACCTGCTTGTAGAATTTTCTGGAAGCAATATGGTATGGTAGGAAAGGCTTTTAAGACAGAAAACCCAGAGTTAAGAGTCATGCCACCATCACTGTATGATCCATGAGATAGGTCAGGCCTGTAACCAACTAAAAGAAAAATGGCCACCTGGCATTTTTCACTTCTGTTTTGAGAGGCACGCCAGCCAACAAGGAAGAGGGAAATGATGGGTAACCCAGTGCTGGCCACCTATGGAGGTAGAGCTGCTCTGACAGATGAGCAAATAGAGAGGAAAGATTTCTGCCTGCTTGGGTCTTTTCAACCTTTCTCCACCAGTTAGTCCAGTGACTCTGTAGACTTCCTTTAGGTTCTATGAGGAACACTGGAGACC